GGGGTTTCTGTGCAGTATATTGGGAGGTCTGCACAGTATATTGGGGGGTTTCTGCGCAGTATATGGGGGGGTCTGTGCAGTATATGGGGGGGTCTGCGCAGTATATTGGGGGGTTTCTGTGCAGTATATGGGGTATCTGTGCAGTATATGGGGGGTCTTTGCAGTATATGGGAGTCTGCACAGTATATTGGGGGGGTCTGTGCTGTATATTGGGGTGGTCTGTGCATTAGATGGGGGGCTGTGGGCTAGATGTGGGGAGGCTGTGTGTTAGATGTTGGGGGGCAGTTTATTAGATGGGGGCTGTGCATTAGATGGGAGCTGTGCGTTAGATGTGGGGACGCAGTGTATTAGATGGAGGGGCTGTGCGTTACATGTGGGGGGCAGAGTATTATATTTGGGGGCTGTGCGTTAGATGTGGGGATGCAGTGTATTAGATGGAGGGGCTATGCGTTACATGTGGGGGGGCAGTGTATTATATTTGGGGGCTGTGCGTTAGATGGGGAGCTGTACGGTACGTGTGGCCTGTGTGTTAGATGTGTACAACCCTAGTTTCACAAAAAAATATTTATTTCCTAGATATATTATGCCATGGCATGCTTTTTGCTATGAAACCGCAACCATTTAGTCACTCACCAGAGAAGGATGAGAAACTGCACCCCAGCCAGAGGGACTGCCCCACATCTGCAACCAAATCCGTGGGTCACCGAATTCTGTAATCTCTGTCTGGAATACCGAATGCGTATGAATGAAAGGTATGGTGTGTGTGAATGGTCAGTAACAAGGGTTGAAGCCTTGACGTGGCGTTACTGCTCACATGTGTATCCATGTGCCAATTCAACCAATGTGAGTGACTAATACTTATGAGGTAACCATAAATACCGTGACTATGGAGAATTAAACGCCTGTATCACCTAAACACTGCTTACACTGTGACCGTATCTCCTAAACACTGCTCATACTGTGACTGTATGTCCTAAACACGGCTTATACTGTGACCGTATCTCCTAAACACTGCTTATACTGTGACCGTATCACATAAACATTGCCTTATACTGTGACCATATCGCCTATACGCTGCTTACACTGTGACAGTGCCACCTACACACTGCTTACACTGTGAATGTTGTTATTTTTTTCACGTTAGTTTTAGTGTTTGCAGTTTCATTAAGTTGTTAACCACAATCCTCAATCTTCTGTTCTGAGTTTTCTTAGATTTGTGGGAAAAACAAGGTGATCCTCTCAATTTTACTCTCCTTTACTGGTTCCAGTACCAGAGAAAAAACCCACCACCATTAACCTAGACCTGCTGAAACAGAAGAGATTACCTTCTTCTACAGAAAACTTCCATATAACTGCTTCGGAACACATGCTGCAGACATGAAGTAACCTTCATCTTCCAGTGATTAAGAATCCTGGACGGCCCAGATAGAGAGAGACTATTATAAAGATACTGCCTTCCTAATGCCATACAGCCTTTCTGTACAGGTGATTGAACTTTCTCCATGTTGGATACGACACTCTGCTTTTTTTTTTTGCCAGTTTCCACATTGACTTTTATATTTTTTTCACTATACATATAAAGTGTAAACTGCATATTAACTTTGAAGAAATAAAGTATATTGCTGACACCTTGACATGCTATTTGTGTTACTTAGCTATAAATAATACCAGCACTTGCTGTGTCCCATTGTATGACATCACTGCAATTCTACAGCAGGGTGATGAGATGGTGGATTTTAGAGGAGAAAACACAAAAAAAACAAAGACCTCAGGTTCTATTGTTGAACACAGATTGGAGTGCCTTTTTGGCGTTATAGGTGTTTTGGGAACCTATATAAATGTAGAAATGGGGTAAAGACTCTTTGTTTTAAAGGAAACCTACGGTGCTAGGCATATCAAACTGTATTTCTAACATCCTCTTCACCCTTTTTGTCAGTTACCTGATTGTTAGGTCAGGCTCCGCCAACATCAGGTCCCTCCTGCGCACACATTTGGGCTTCCACATCGGAAAGCATTAACTCAAGGCTTTTCTATAGTGTTTTTAAAGACACTGGTTGTCCTCATGCAAAGCGTGAGGATGTCCAGTGTCATTTCACGTAGTTGGTCTCCGCTAAGGACCTGAATCGCCTCTAGTGCCTGTCTGGTAGACAGCCAATAGAGGATGAGATAACCTTGCAAGGTAATTATTGCAGTTCCTCAGAAACTGCAATATTTCACATTGCAGGGTTAAGGGGACGTAGGCACTGCACCCAAACCACTTCAACGAGATGAAGTGGTCTTAGTGCCTATAATGTCCCTTTAATTAAAGAGCAACTTCTTACTCTGCTTATTGCTATCTTTTGAAAGTCATCACAGTTATAAGCAAAACTTTCCATAGGCACAGTGACAAGAGGACCTATGTGCACCATAAATTATCATACTTTGATACAAAGCCATATTTCCTAACAGTCCTGGATTGTTTGATAGAGTACCAGTTTGGGGTTGCTCTCCATTGTCCCACAATAATTAGCAGGCTAACACTGATTACAGATACACATTTCACTGCACATTTCAAAATTGTTTGGAGTTTTAATATTTATTTTTTTAAGGCAGCAGTAAACAAAAAGTCTAACAACAGTTGTTAATTTCTAATGTAACAAAAAAGTGAAAAAGTATGTTGTACATTAATTGAATACATAATAATTGCACATGTGGCCTATTATCAGATATTGTTAGCCGCTCTTTACTCTTCAGAGGCTTCATATACTCCTGAGTAGGGCTTGGATGATGCTGTGATGAGATCTTCCTTTAGTACAGCCTTCTCATATACTCCTGACTAGGGCTTGGATGATGCTGTGATGACATTTTCCTTTAGTACAGCCTTCTGTATCCAATAGTCTCTTATACAGGGACTCCTCAAGGCGGTTTGCTCCTTCCCTCGGGAGCTGTAAAAATAAAAAATTAAGTTAAAACTCACCAGAACGTAACCAGAAAGCATATTACAATCTACATATTTTCTATTATTACAAACTACAATTTCCATGTTGAGGATTAGAGGCGTAGAATAGAAAGAATGATAGAGCGCTTTCAATTTTTACTTAAAGCATCCCTGCGACGCCCACAAATTAAGAGCAAACAGGAACAACTTTATCTGAAGTATTTTTTCTACTTTTGACAAAAGACAGAGCTAATGCAGACACTTGAGTGGAGCACTTCCGTTGGCTCCTGGCAGATTAATGCTCCAGGAGCTGAAGAGGACCTTGAGAAAGAAGATGCATACAAAGGACATTTTAAGTCAAGTAAAAACTACCTTCACCTGCCCTTCATGGCCACTGGAATACAAGTGGAACAGTGACCATCTGGGGTCTTTGCACAACATTCAAAATACATAAATAAAATATCATAAAAATATTAAGTGCTTTAGGGTTCGGTCATAATCTCAGAATTGGGTCTAATGCAACAGAGGGTTCCATTTCATAAACCTGTTGAATTCCTGCTGAGCCGCCAGTCATAGATGATGCACAACTATCCTCTAAACAGAACAATGGTCTCCATCCCATACTGGGACACCAGATCTAAAATACAGAAAATGCACTTAGTGTAAAATGCTTTAAACTGCCTCCCTCATCAAACTGAAACTTGATCTGGAATTGAGAAAACAGTATCACATATAATGATTTAAACCTGACCAAACTGGGGCACTATATCTGGAAAAATTCAAATATATAAAAAAAACGGTACAACTATATTATAAATCAATATAATTACAATTGAAATTAAAAAAGGGGCAGCATCAAAACACCAGCAAGCGACTGAATTGAGCAATTAACTCACAATAAACAAAAAGGTGTGTGCGCTCCAAAAAAATTATCACAAACTAAAGAATTAAATATTAAAGTATAAATCTTTTAATAAACATCAAATAATTAAATATTTCAGAGGCTGTTTCACAATCTCCCTAATGGTTATACCCTAAAAACAGTGAATTAAATACTCGGCATATTAGCCATATGCAACAAAGTTGCTAGATGTATTTAGCTTTGAATATGTCAATAAATCATATACAAATGTATCAATAATATGGGTAATGTGCCAAAAGAAACAAATACAACAAAAAATATAAATACATCAAATAATATAAACAAATTAATAATAAAAAATATAAAAATAAATAAATAAATAAATAAATAGTACCTGACCTCGGAGTGGGCTCCCACCAGAGGTAGAAATAAAATCATCTGGGGGTCTTTTTTGGTTATTCCTGACTTGGATTTTATTTCTACCTCTGGTGGGGGCCCACACCGAGGTCAGGTACTATTTATTTATTTTTTTACACTATATCTGGAACACTTTATTACCCCCTCTGATTAAAATGGCATGGAGTATATAACCCTAGATTTCACCTTTGATGGATCCCAATAAGTATAAGCAGTTTTTATGATACAGTCACAGTGTAAGCAGTGTTTCAGAGATACGGTCACAGTGTAAGCAGTGTTTAGGATATACAGTCACAGTATGAGCAGTGTTTAGGATATACAGTCACAGTATGAGCAGTGTTTAGGATATACAGTCACAGTATGAGCAGTGTTTAGGATATACAGTCACAGTATGAGCAGTGTTTAGGAGATACGGTCACAGTGTAAGCAGTGTTTAGGATATACAGTCACAGTGTAAGCAGTGTTTAGGATATACAGTCACAGTATGACCAGTGTTTAGGAGATACGGTAACAGTATAAGCAGTGTTTAGGTGATACAGGCGTTTAATTCTCCATAGTCACGGTATTTATGGTTACCTCATAAGTATTACAGTCACTCACATTGGTTGAATTGGCACATGGATACACATGTGAGCAGTAACGCCATGTTAAGGCTTCAACCCTTGTTACTGACCATTCACACACCATACTTTTTATTCATACGCATTCGATATTCCAGATGTTTTGGACTACACCTTCCATAATGCTTTGCCAGCATTATGGGAGGTGTAATTCACAGCATCTGGACTGCCCAAGGTTACCTACCTCTGAACTAGGCCGTGATCACAGTACACAATGTTGAAGTCGCTGTGCAAACAGGAGCAGCTTGTCACGTGCCAGATGCCACTTCAGTACTTATAAATTCAATACTCCACCCTGGAGACGAGCCTCAAACATGGGCTTCTTCATTCCTCTTCATGTACTTCGTGTCCCATAGGAGAACATGCTTGTCAGAGTTGTGACACACACAAAAATAAATAAACTGGTTAGAGTAACTGGCATAACAGACACAGTGCATGCAGACTTGCGTGCCACATACATACAGCAGACAGACAAAGATTGTGGGAGACACACTGGATTAAATATAAGAATTGGGAGTACCATACATACAGAATGGACAAAGAGACGGAGTTTACTGAATTCGGTGACCGACGGATTTGGTTGCAGATGTGGGGCAGTCCCTCTGGCTGGGGTGCAGTTTCTTATCCTTCTCTGGTGAGTGACTAGATGGCTGTGGTTTCGTAGCAAAAAGCATGCCATGGCATATGATATCTAGGATATAAATATTTATTTTGTGAAACTAGGGTTGTACACATCTAACACAGAGGCCACACGTACTGCACAGCTCCCCATCTAATGCACATCCCCCACATGTAACGCACAGCCCCCCATCTAATACACAGGCCACCCCAATATACTTTGTAGACCCCCCAATATACTGCACAGAAAACCCCCTCAATATAATGTACAGAAACCCCCACTGTTCCAAATATACTGTACAGAAACCCCACCAACATAATGTTCAGAAACCCCCACCGTCCCAATATACTGCACCCTTCCCTCGGATGGCTGAGAGTGTTGGGAGCAGGGAGAGACTGACCTGTTTCCAGACAGGATTTAATCCGATGGTCTGAGTCCGCGCGTGCGCAGTATAGGGGTAGGGAGATTTGATGGCCATTTGTCCTGTGAAATTTCTCTACCCCACATTGCGTACGCGTGGTTGATTGGGCCCTCGCATGCGCAGTATAGGGGTAGGGAGATGGGATGGATGTAAAGCGCTCCCTGCCCAATAGTGCACACGCACTCTGTACCTCGGACGGGAGTACTGTGACGCGTGCGCACACTGTGGTGTTATTTTCCCCTACCCCCCGTAACCCAAGCTATAAGGGAATCGCGCATGCACGTACGTGTGCCGCTTTTCAAGTGCTCGATGTGAAATTTCCCTACCTAGTAGGTGTGCGCTTGCGCAGCGGCGCACACCCCCGTCCTAGAGCTGTTCCTCATCACTTCCGGTGCAGCCGTGTCACCGGAAGTGACGAGGGTAGGGAATTTTCACGGGGTAGGGTTTTTTGATAGAATACCTGCAATGTAAAAATAGCAATTTCTATGAAACTGCTATGTTTACACCTGAAGGGTTAAAACCTGGGGGACCTGGCACCCAGACCACTTCATTGAGCTGAAGTGGTCTGGGTGACTAGTGTCCCTTGAAAGGTTATAGGACTCTTGGTCAGTTAAAGTGATCTTTGTAACAGTAATAACTCCCCTGTTATTTAGGCCAAGAGACAGAGACATTTGCTGAACCTATCGAACGACATTGATGCAAGACTGAAATGAACTTTCCAGGATTGTATGTACACCTAACCAAAGGACTCCATCCAGAGCTGTGTCTGTGCCAAGAACCAGAGACTGCAGATCTATTCAAATCAAAGAGTATCTGAACCTAAAGGAAAGTATTTATTCATTGTTACATGTGTTAACTCATACAGTTATCATTGCATAATTATGACAAGTGATATTATTTAAACATATTACTATTAATAGGAACATTGTTATCACAGATCATGACGCCTAGCATTTCATACCACATATTCAACTGATATAACCATTATATACATTAGTATATCAAGATGCAAAATGTATAAAGATTAAATAAATGTTATTGTTGATATTAAGGTTCCCTGATTACCTTAATTAAATAAGTTATAATCAGACCATGCTTACACCATATACGTATTCAAAGACATATTGATCCCTGTGTGTGTCTGGTCTTTACAATAATAAAAAATGTGTAACAGAAATAAAACTGTGATTTCTACCTGTTGCTCACTCTGGGACACTCTGCACTGAGCTGTTTAGCGATACCTTTCAGAAAGAGTTAATCAATAGAGGCGAGAAGATAGTGTGACAGCTCATCGTGTTTGTTAGAGCTTAGATGAAATTAAAGCACTTTTGTCTCCATTTTTAATATCATTTTTATTGGTCGGTAAATGCCTCCTGTGCGCCTTGCAGCTGAAATCAATATAGAACTGCTTTCACTCAGCATTAGATTAACTGTTTCTGTACCGGTGCTGAGTATTCATTTGAAGATTATCTAACACGAGAAGAAGGGTATATCTTGTTCCCATATATAGCCCATTACTCTACAAAAACTCAGCTTGAAGGAAAAAAAAACTGCTGATTGTCCTCTAGTACCTTTTTGCTTCAATATCCTTATCTGTCAATACAACATAACTGCTTGCATAATGTCCTCAAGTTACTGTGATCTTTTTGGAAAACATCTGTACTTTATAAGGAGCCTCTGATTTAACAAAAACAAACAAACAAAAAAGTTTCTGCAAAGTTTATCTTTACAATTCTATATAGTTTTTTTTGTTACATCTAGAACAGGTGACACTGTGTGTGATGTGTTACATCTAAGTACATAGTTGTGTCTCTCTAAAAATTGTCCCAATTATCCTACCAGCTAAGAGTCAAGAAATCTGAAATCTTATAAGGTCTGTTGATTGGATTGAATTTTGATATTGGATACATGATATGCTAACTGAATGTCTCCATGTCTCTGTATGTACATAGCGACTGTTTAAGGCATTTTATGTGCACTTGCTTTGTTTGTTGAATCGTCAAGTCTCTGGCTAAAGTGTCTTCTCTTTGTGGAGGATGCTGTTATATCTGGATATGGTAGGCTTTTTATGCTCATACTTAAAAAGAAAGGTTGCAGACCTTGAGACAGAAGAATATGGGACACCAATGAGCCTTGTCAGTAAGAATGCATTAGGTAAGCTATAACGTGACATGTTACTTAAAGGACCACTCTAGGCACCCAGACCACTTCAGCTTAATGAAGTGGTCTGGGTGCCAGGTCCAGCTAGGGTTAACCCATTTTTTCATAAACATAGCCGTCTCATTGACAGCCACTAGAGGCGCTTGTGTGCTTCTCACTGTGATTTTCACAGTGAGAACACGCCAGCGTCCATAGGAAAGCATTATGAATGCTTTCCTATGTGACCGGCTGAATGAGCGCGCAGCTCTTGCAGCGCGTGCGCATTCAGCCGACGGGGAGGAGAAGAGGAGGATCGGAGGAGGAGAGCTCTCCGCCCAGCGCTGGAAAAAGGTAAGTTTTAACCCCTTTCCCCTTTCCAGAGCCGGGCGGGAGGGGGACCCTGAGGGTGGGGGCACCCTCAGGGCACTATAGTGCCAGGAAAATGAGTATGTTTTCCTGGCACTATAGTGGTCCTTTAACTCCATCCTTGTTTCTGTGCATAAATAATATCCTGATAATATCTCATTAAGCAAGACTGTTTTCCCAGTAAACAGAGTCTAATTGGATGGATAATTGGCACACATGTGAAGTACTAGAACCTGCCCAAAGGTTCTTGGACAGATGGATTGGATCTCATGGATATTTTTCTGACCTCCAGTTTTCTGGTTCTATTCATAACAGCAAATTTTCACTTTTCTCATGCACTGATTCTCACTTTGAGCCTAGCTCTGTCTGCCTTGTTTCCATATGAAAAAAGGGAGTACTCCAGACCACTGCCTGCCAATATTCCCACATATAATTTTTAGAATTTCTCTTTACTCGGGTTTCCATATGTACAGTGTTAAGATAAATGTAAAATTTAGGAGGCACCAATGTTACACTAAGAAGTCCATTCACTAAACAAGGAGTCATGGAGATTTAGGAACTGACTTGTAACTTTTGCAGAATTATTCACAAAAGTGAGAATTTAAGGTAAATCCAAAAATTCAAGGTACACACAGCCGAACTAGAATCATTATCTAAGCCAGCTATGCTACCAATTCGGCAACCTTGGTCTTACGTTTGAAATTCACTTTGAATTCTCACTTTAGTGAATAACTCTGCTAGTCCAAAACTGCAGGGTTGAATCTCAGACAATACTGAGTAATCAAGAGGCTTATTCACTAAAGAATGGCAGTTAATTCAGCATGAATTCAATTTGAATATCAAGTCCAAAAGAGCTGAATTAGAAAAATTATCCAAATCAATTTTATTTTCAGTTTGGCTACTTTGGCCTTATTTTGATATTCTTTTTGATTTCACTTTAAATTTTCACTTTAGTGAACAAGCCTGTAATTAATTTCCAATTCTGCTGTTTAGTCTTAATATTGAAGGTTGGTTCATGATTCAAAACAACTTCTGTTTAGTGAATAGATTTCTAAATGACACAACAGAATTCCTTCTAAAGTGCCGTGCATACTGATAAAGTTAATTGCTGGTAAATCTACCTTTTCTTGTATAAGAAAAGCTTGCACAGTTGGGGGGTGATACAGGCTGAAGTTTAGACCCTTTATATTAACCACCCAAAGAACAGAAACACATTATTGATGTATTGCTTTTATGTGGTTAGAGGCCATAAAACTGATAGAAGTATGCAATTTAATGGTCTTACCAATATACTACTGAAATCTATTTTTTTTCTTATTGCAAAGAGACTGAAATATAGAAGAGTCATTTCCCTTACCCCCAGTGGTAATAAAGAAATAACGAGTTTCCTGCTCTGAGTAGCCCTTCCCCCTCCCATCTTTTCCCAGTAAAACTCTCATAATTAAGCAAAGCAGCTTTTAACCAAATTGTTTCAGCCTCAACAAGCAATTAGGACAGACAGTGCTGTTAATATGAAGTACAATGTGTGCTGCTCTGTCCAAACTCCTCGTGTCACATGGTCAGTGGATCCCTTCAGTCAACCCCTCTGTCGAATTGTAGCAGAACATTCAGGTTTAATGTTGTGTGTGTATATATATATATATATATATATATATATATATATATATATATATATATATATAAATATAAAGGTTGCTGTATATTTTCTGATGTGCTTTTGCTGTTCTGGAATATGTATGGCAGATAACAAATGATGAGAGCTGATTCTTTAATTATGGAATTAAAGTAATAGATCACTATTGTACACTATTGCACCCAAACACTCCATAGATCTGGGGTAGGCAACCTTAGGCCCTCCAGAAGTTGTGAATTATATCTTGCATGCTCTTACACCTATAAGGAGATGTGTGGTCCATAGTGACATTTAAAGCTGTACCCTGGTTCAAAGAAGCAACGTGTTAGCCCTTCCGCATCTTTTGAGGGAGCACAGAAATGATGAGCACACAAGGGAAAAGTGAGTAATGAGAGGTGCAAAATGGATAGATAACAGATGGACAGTGGAATGAGGTAATGGAGGCCTACCAACTGTCTCAATGTTGGTCCCAATTTACAGGTCTCACCAGGTAACTGTCGCCAACAAGCATAACGCATTTAATGCGCTCACACTATGATCAGGGCACTAGGATTTCCTGCAGGGATTTGCTCTCAGTGGGTCTGCCTGAATGTTGGACAGGCTTACTTGCCACTAATTTGCAAAGACCCGCCCCCTTTAGCCCTGTCCACCAGCGTCCCACTTCTCAGGACGTCAGAGCTGGGAGGTATGGGAAAGTGACACTAAGAATAGGGAGCCTCAGGAAGGCCATATGGTGCAAGCAGTGGCGGATCCAGAGCCTGATCTCGGGAGGGGCACTTGTAGATTATTTAAAGAAATAATCCAGACACAATAACTACTACAGCTCAGTGTAGTGGTTATGGTGTCAATAGTGCCGGGACCCCCTCCTAGAGTAAGTAGTCAAACCGTTTAAGAACAGTTTGACAACTTACCTGAGGTCTGCTGGGAAATGGGGCGGTAGTAGGGCATAGGAGCAGTGGTGTGTGTGAGTGGTGCAATGTGTAAGGGGTGCAGTGTGTGTGTGTGTGTGAGGGGGACAGTGTGTGAGCAGTGTGTGTGTGTGTGTGTGTGAAGGTTGTAGTGTGTGAGTAGGGGGGGCAGTGTATGTCAGGGATGCAGTGTATGTGTGGGACAGTATGTGTGTGTAACAGTTGCAGTGTGTGTGTGAATGTGGGCAATGTGTGTGTATGGGGCGGCAGTGTATGGGGGCAGTGTGTGTGTATGGGGGGCAGTATGTGTGTATGAGGGCAGTATGTGTGCATGAGGGCAGTATGTGTGTATGGGGGGCAGTATGTGTGTATGGTATGTGTGTATGGGGCAGCATGGGGCAGTATGTGTATGGGGGGGCAGTGCATGGGGGGGGCAGTATGTGTATGGGGCAGTATGTGTATGGGGTGTGTATGGGGGTGCATGTGTGTGTATGGGGGGGCAGCATGGGGGGTAGGGGGGGTAGTATGTGTGTATGGGGGGGCAGTATGTGTGTATGGGGGGGGGCAGTATGGGGGCTATGTGTGTGTGTGTGAGATCAGGGTAGGGTGGCTTTTTTTTTTATAGTATAATAAAATAAATTAATTAAAATAAATATTATCCTATGTCCCCCCTCCCTTCTTACCTTTACTGGGGAGGAGGGGGGACATATTTCGATCCCTGGTGGTCCCAGTGGGGATTCATTGGTGGTCAGGTGGTCAGAGTGAACTCTAGCCCGCGCTCCCGGGCTAGAGTTCACTCTCGCGAGATTTGGAGCGTTGCTGTGGTAACCGCGGCAACGCTTCAAATCTCACGAGAGGAGGACCCGGAGGAGCTGCAGACCGAGCTCCGGGTCCTCCCTCTCCCTCCCCTGCCGGCTGCCAGCACAGTGTCTGCGGACCGGGGAGGGAGATCTCTGATCTCCCCTCCGGTCCGCAGGCACATTGCAGGGCTGGCACCTGCATGTGCTGCTGGCAGGGGAGGGAGACCGGCGGATTTCTCGGGGGGGGCAATTGCCCCGTTGCCCCCCCCCTGGATCCGCCAGTGGGTGCAAGCATATTGCATAAAATGTAAGTAAGCACCACAGATAACTGGAGGAATTAAAATAATGGTACACTGGCAAAATGTAAAACAAATGTGGCAGATGGGAAAAGACATAAACAGAGGGAATTAGTAGCCACAGGAGGGATAGATGGTGTTACTGACAGTATATGCTGGTGTATTATACATAAAAAACAGATAATGTGCATTCAGAGTCAATGCAGGAGACTCAAATAATTCATAAAAAAAAAAAGTAATGTTTCACCTGAAAATGCTTAATTATAGACTAGAATTATTGCTTTGTTGTGTCAAAGCATTCCTAATAAAGTTTATTTGAATATGATGGGCTACCTACATGAGCCTAGTTCTTGCGATGGTTTTGTTCATTAAGAGGACACTGTAAACACTATAACCAGTAATATAATATAATAAATGACAGAAGGTGGGGTGGGGGGGGAGAGGTGGTGGGCACTATAGGGAGCTATGACAGGAAAACAACTTTGTTTTCATGGCACTATAGTTTCCCTATAAGTAATAAGTGATATAAAAGTATATAAATAAAGTAACACTTGTTGAAAGTTCCTAGAACCCCAAAAGTCTCAAACAGAGCCATAGTCTTATTCTTGTTTAATTCTCTTATGTCTATTCTGAACACATGACCCTTTCTTTGGCAGCAGTCAGTGGTTCAGAGGGGATCATGTTAAAATTGATTAGAACAATTGTCAGGAAGCCATGCAATGAGTGAACCAGGAGCGCTCAAACAGAACCTTCCACAAAGCTAAGACATATAAATGAACATGTGTCTGGTTTTTAAGCTATATTTAACTATTTGCAGAAAAGGTCTCTGTCTATCCTAATTAAATGATATGACATGAAATTAGATGTCTCAATCATTTATTTTAATTTACCACTTTTAATTGATAGTTACCATCCTCTATTTTCCAAAGCCATTCAAAATGAATCGACCATGTTCTAGTGCCATACTGTCCCTCCTTCTGACTAGGTTTTGTAATTAGGTAATTAATCATTCCCCTCAATTAATTTGTCATAAGTGACTCATATCTACACCTGTGAACTTAAAAAGATAATTAAGTGCTACCATTTAAAAACATTGCTATGTCAGGCATTTCAACTACGATCACTCTCTCCCTCCTAATTCTCTCCCTACCTCTCTTGATTTTCTCTTTATGCCTGTGTGTTTCTCTCATAGCCTTTCTCTAGTACTGCTGTCAATCTCTTTCTCTTATTCCATTTATCTCATTGACACGGTTCCAGGTAGTGATGGTGTCATATTGTGCAATAATTGGAGAACACAATAGCTTATCACTCTTGGCATGGACTGTGAAACTGGAGCCCATACACAATGGAGTTAACTTGGTTAGATATAACTTGTACAATATTAACAGAACATTAATAGTAAATAAGATTATATAAAATATGCACAATATATGACCTTTTTTGATAGAACAGTGAGGTAGAATTTGCTTATGTAAACTTGGATTGGTTTGACAAGGTGTAACTATTTTGTTAGAGGAGCCAGAAGACGTTTACGGTATAACACTAAATACCGGTAGGAAGTCATGTGGGGGTGGACTAGCGCGACTTGGTTGTTCCACAAAGAAGCAGCACTGAGATGCATATGCTGTGCAATAATCAGTGAAGGCAGCAGAGAGGCGTTGGGAAAATGGGAGTCATTAGCAGAGAGAACAGTAATGAAGCAATGTAGAGGCTTAAAGGAACACTAAAAGCACAAAAACTTTTGTCTTTGGAGTGGTTTTGGTGTATAGATCATACAATTTCAGTCTAACTGATCTATTCTCTACAATTTAGGAGTAAAACCACTTTGTTTATGCAGATGTAGTATGCATTTGTAAATGGGAAGTAGTGTGCATGCTTATGGATAGGGGCTTTATTTTGTTTGTATAGGGTAGTCTGTGTATTTGTAGAGGGGCTGTTGTGTGTGCATGTCTGTATTAGGGGTCAAGTGTATATGTGTCTAGGGGAGATAGTGGGCATTTGTGTTTAA